TAGTATATACCTGGGGATTATTTTTAATCTTTTCCAAACCCTTTTGGGTAGTGGAAACCCAAGGGTTATTTTTAATCTCTTCTATACCCTCTTGATTAGTGTATACCTGGGGGTTATTTTTAATCTCTTCTATATCCACCTGGGCAGTGTATACCCTCTTGGGCAGTGTATACTTGAGGTTATTTTTTATCTCTCCTATACCCTCTTGGGTAGTGTCAACCTCAGGGTAACTTTTACTCTCATTTATAACCTCTTCAGTAGTGCATACCTGAGGGTATCTTTTATTCCTTTCTATACCCTCTTGGGTAATGTATACCTGAGGTTTATATTTCTTCTCTCCTATACCCTCTTGGTTAGTGTATACCTGAGGTTTAAATTTATTCTCTCCTTTACCCTCTTGGGTAGTGTATACCTGAGGGTTATTTTTAATCTCTTCTATACCCTCTTGGGTAGTGTATACCCAAGGGTTATTTTTTATCTCTTCTATACTCTCTTGGGTAGTGTATACCTGAGGTTTACATTTATTCTGTCCTATACCCTCTTGGGTAGTGTATGAATGGAGGTTATTTTTAGTCTCTTCTATGCCCTCCTGGGCAGTGTATACCCTCTTGGGTAGTGTATACTCTCCTATACCTTCTTGGGTAGTGTAAACGTTAGGGTAATTTTTTTCTCTCATTTATACCCTTTTCAGTAGTGATACTACTAGTTGCTTCATGCTAAAGAAACTGAGATACGCTCAGGCTGGGTGGGCCTCCAGGTCACTTGAGCACAGTATTACCAATTCCTGAATTGGATGGTGATACTGAACTCCTTTGCAAGAAAACAATGAGTGGGAGGAGAGGCACGCCGATAAAGCATGTTGTATGTTGTAAAACGCCATTTAATGACTATGAGGTTACAACAGCCGTGGTCTCATCTGCTCTGATTGTAAATAAAGGGGTAAGTTTCTAAAGAAACTGCGGTGCTGCGTCGGTGGGAGAGTACAACATGATTATGGAGTGTTATCAGCTGTGTTAAAACGTAGATTGACCACCGTAAAGAGTTTGAAGACTGACGTTACGGGCGTTCGCCCTTCGTTAGCTTTTCCCTCTGACGAAGGACGTTAGCCTTTAAACTCTTCACGAAGGCCAATTTATGTTTTCAACTCAGTCGATAACACTAAATTACTCTGATTGTAAATGACAGTCACCAGGCCTCCGTAAAATGTAACTCAAAATTCCTAAATAAATGCGGCATGTGTTTTTTTTCAGGAACCAGCCTTAATCCGCTTTGATGAGACATCCAATTTATGGCCCGAGCCCTTCTCCACCCTAATCAATTGCATTTTCCCACTGGAATATGTGTATTCCGATTGGTTTCAATGGCAAGCAAACATTGAGGCTCAACGCAGAGATCCAGAATTTCCCGGCAGCTTACCTGGAGACTGTTTTGAGGCTGGAAGTCGCGTTGAAGGGTTTTGCATTCCCCAGTTCATCCTCAGGAATAGTGACATTGATCAAGTGAACGCACGTGCTCTTGATTTCAAAGAACAGTGGCTCCCTGATCTTGACTTAATGAAAGTTGTTGATTCATTTGTTGAAACAAATGAAAAGAGCCGGATACCAACATTCACTGTTGAGCATTTGGAAGACGATCCAAAGTATGTAAAGTTGAGGTTGACTGACGAGTTCAAGGAGCATGATTCGCGATTTAAGAATGCTCCCTACCTCCATCACTCGTACCTGCTTCCTGACGCAGATCACCCCATGGTTAATGATGAAAAAGGTGTGTGGTCGAACGACGTGCACGGTCCGGTACGCAAACTCATGAAAGCCGATTTTCCATGCCACGAAGAGGATCGAACGGATGTTTTCAAGTTTCCAATCGCATGGCCTGAGCCTGCTATGGAGTGGTTGGTCCGATCACGCCCTTGTGGTTGGCCCTCTTCAGAGCTTGTTCAAGAGGTGTTCGACAGTGGTTGTCTTTTAGCACCTGTTGGTAGAGGAAAGCGCCTGCACGAGCCCATCGATACCTTTGAGTATTACCGAAATCCAGAACAGTCTGCGACAAATTCCGCAATGGCTGATGCAGAGGGGAAATGGGCCATGGAAGAAACTGAGTGGAGAATTTCATTTTCACTGGCGGAAAACAAGCTCGGACGGAGTGTTTCACCCGTTCAACGGCACGTTATGGTTTTGCTGAAGATGATCAAAAAAGCTTACTTTCCAGATGTTATTTCGACGTATTATTTGAAGAACCTGCTGTTCTGGGAATGCGAGAGTAAAGGAGAAGCCTTTTGGAGAGAGGACAACTTCGCTAAGTGCCTGTTGTCTATGCTGGATCGTCTACACGAGTGCTTAGAGACCTCAGATCTTCCATATTACTTCATGCCTCAGAGCAACCTTCTTCAATATGAAGACACCGCTGATCTCAAAGAAGCTGCTATTGTTGTCGCCGAGGTGAGGAGAGAGATACTACCGAAGACGGTCAGTCTGTTGAAGAGGCTTCAGTCACTAACGTTTCAGTCAAACACCTACTTGCGAGATGTTGGCGTACCACTGAAGGATCATCTTCTTAAGATGCAGGACAGACATCTGTCAGAGGATGATCATGGAAAACTGCTGACGGCTCTGCTCTCACTTTTTGTGGGCAAATGCAAAGATGTCATCAAGAGTTTGCGGAGAACCACGCTTGAACCTGATAAAGGCAAAGGAGTAGAAAATCTGTTGAACGTTGCTTTGTATGCTTACCAGTCGATACTTGCCAGAAATTTGTACAAGCTGTGGTTCTTAATGACCAAGGATGAAGACACCAAAGACGGAGAGAAGGAAGAGGATGAGTTTACGTCATTTGTACGCGAGGAAGTGAACAGCCTTTCTTTAGATGGCGATTTCGTTGCTCAGTCCCTCACCTTCTTCCACAGCGCGAAAAACGGAATGGAGCCATCTCGGTCGATTCTTTGTTCAAGAGCGATGAAATACCTTAGGGAAGAACACGTAAGGATGGCTGTCGAGAGCACAGAAAGTGCACTTGGAGAGTTAAAGGCAAAATTCAGCTGGTTTAAGGTTAGCGTCCTGAAAGAAGCTGCGGAAAGAGCCACAAAGAAGTTACTAGGAGAGAGTCATACTAGAGACACACTTTCAAAAGAAGCGATCCAGAGTGCACTCGAAGAGGAAATTCAAGCACTTCATGGTGAAAGAATAGGAAAATAGTAATATCGTTAAAAAGAAAGGAGCAAAGTTGTTGGCAGAAGTTAAAATAAAGAGATGAACTGGGGGAAAGAACATGGGTCAAGAATTTTCACTCCTTCCGTAGAAATAGTTTGATTAAGTGTTGAAGTGAGCCACTGACTCGTTCCAAGTCGTATTCAAAGCGCGTGTGACCGACACGGGCAGGATGGGAGTGCAAAGTGTGATGAATAGGAAGTAAAACTTTTAATTTTAGATATTAGACTAAATTCGTATAACTCTTCCAGTACATTCATCGGACTGTACTAGACTGTTCAAAACAAATGGTAGTTGCCTTAGCCAAAATATTATTGGAGCCCAAAGAACATGGGGATGCATGATTAAGTGTAGCAATTTTGAACTTACTTGACTTTGTTTACCTTACAGCCGCAACCACACGACGAAAATCATTATCCTTTGTAGCATCGGTTTTTTCGGAATTTTCTTGGAGAAAATTCAGCGGTCAAAATGTATATGAATAGGTGTTCACAACTGTTTTTTATTGATCTTCTTAGTGATAGACTCATTAACTTATAACGAAAGGATTACACAAACTCACTTTATCAACCCTCATGAATTAAGCTGAGAAGAGAGGTTGTTCTTTAAGTATACTGCACTTTTCATTACGTTTGGCTTGTTGTGAATTGAAGATAGTGAAGCCAATAGGTGCACCTGTGAACTGTCTCAGTATTAGCCACGCAAAAGGAAAACGGAAAAACCTCGACATGAATTCTTTCTTGTAAAAAACGTCGATCAATAAATAATTTTTATAAACTGCATTTCTAGTGAAATCATGTACTTTTAAGATCTTGTGTTTCAAGAGTCTGAAACTGGTATTTCAGCGAAAACAATCTATATTTCTCTACTTCTTTCTTAACCTGAAAACACTATCAATATCATTATTTTTATAA